GCGCCGGGCGGCGCGGCCCAGCCATTAGCATGCACGCCGGCCTGCCAGGCGCTGGAGCAGCATGTTCAGTTTTCTCACATTCATAACTGAGGGTGGAACAGATGGCGAAGGTTTGGGAGGAAGCTAATGTAATACAGAGGAAGGGAGAATGCGCGGATTTAAATAACCCACCACGCCAGCAACAATTTGTTCTCTCGGGAGGGCTGGGCTTCGTCGCAGCCGCCCGGATTAGAGGGGCAGGGTGGCAAGGAGCAGTGCCCGGTGCCATGAGCTGTGTTGCGGCATCCTGCCCGTCCCCGTGCCCTTTCCTGCACTCGCCTTCCCAACGCTGTGATTCCCTGAGGACAGGGAAGCCGAGGGGGAGGCTCTGCCCCGCACGCCGCCTCTGCGCACGCTCCGGGGCACACGCCGGCTCGGCGCCGCGCGCAGCGTCGCATGCAGATCCACCCGCTGCAGCAGCCGGTCCCCCCCAGCCCCGGGCGCCCGGGGGCCGCCTCCCCGCCCGGCCTGGTTTTGCGTGCACAGAACGCGCTCGTGTCCGTCAGCACCGCTCGGGCAGGCCTGCGTGCACCGGTGACGATGCATTAAGGGTGTTTTACGAGCGTCCCCATCCCCTTTGGGCCTGAATCTCCCACGAGGACAGAGCTGGGGCCTTGCCAGGATGGCGCTCGGGGTCCCAGCTCCTGCGAGAGGGTCTGAGAGGGGAAAGGAGGGGGAGAAAAAGGAACCGCTGAGACATTGGAAAAGGGAAGCAGGGCCAGCAGGGCTTGGGTGGTTCAGTACAAGCCATATTATGTTTTTAGGGCTGCAGGGGGAAAAAAAAAAAAGGGCTGTAGCTGCATTTCTGCAGGTGCCGAGTGTCTGCATCCAAGAGGAAAGCAAGTGCCAGCGGCACGCGGATGCTCAGGGAGCCGGTGGGAAAGGCTGGAATCAGGCACGGATGGAGCCTGGTCCATCTGCAGGTCCTCGCAGAGCAGGGACAATCGCGGGCAGGTAGCACGAGACTCGCAGGGATGCGGTGCGGGAAGCTCCCTGGGGATGTGACTGGGCTCAGTGCTCGGTCCCATAAAGCCCAACTCGCTGGGACAGCCCCACAACAGGGCAGCAGCCGCCCACCCCTGACATTTCCTGGCACTGTCACGTGCTGTTGGATAAAATCCAGGCAGTTTCAATGCGTTACCGGCACTATCGCAAATTAAGGGGGGCAGCAGCCGCAGCATGGGGCTGCAGTGGAATTTTGCATCCGTGCGGCTAAGGACTCGCGCGGGCTGCGGCGTCCGGGTGAGGCAGGAAGGGCTCCGAGCGCCGCAGCTCCCCGCGCTCCCGGCAGGATATTCCAAGCAGGTCCCGCTGTCGCTGGGGAGAGCGCGGGGAGGCAGCCAATGTGCGGCGAGCTGCATCGCACCGGGGACGGGGGGACACGGGGATGGGGCTGGTGGGGACATGGGGACGGAGCTGGTGGGGACGCAGTGACGGAGCCGGGGGTGAGGGCATGGGGATCAGGACGGGACAGGGGACATCTCGGAGCTGGGAAGGCCCCACCGCACCATGGACCAGCGGGGAAGGGGCTGTCCTGCATTTAACCCCCTGGGGATAAGCCAGCAATTTGTGGGGGGCTGTTTAAAATATATATGCATTATATATATATATAATATATATATAGAGAGAGTCATATATTTATATTATATAATATATATATATGCATAAATACATATACATGCATAAATATATATGTATTAAAATATATAATGCATTTCCTCTAATCTCTCTCATGTATGGACAGGGCAGGAATTACTCGTAGCACCAGGAAGGCACAGAGGGAACTGCAGCGCCTCTCTCCGCATTTTACCCTCTTTTAACCCCTTTAACACCCTTTTACTCGGCTTTTAACCCCCTTCTAATCCCCGAGGACGTGGCTGGATGAGGCAGCTCCCCGGCCGCGCTGCTGCCGCCTGCCGCTCGCTTGGGGCTTTGAGCCTTTTCCGCCGCCTTCCGAAACCTGGGGTCAAACAGCAAGTTTGGAGCAAAAGACCCCCAAATCTTCGAGCAGAACCAAACCATGAGCCCATCAAACCCAGCATGTGGCCCCGTTTCGGTCCCGTTGGACCTTTCTTTCTTCTTGCTCCTGAACTGCCTGTTGCTGTCACTGGTTGCAGGGGGCATTTGTCAACTCAACACTAATGCCGTGCTGAGTTTCCATTATTTTTTTCCGGTGCTGAGGCTGGAAAACAATGTATATATATATTTTTTTGCTGATCCAAGGCCTTAGTAATTGCACTTAATAGGCCCCAGAGGGATTCCTAGGTAAGCTGCACCATGGTTTCCATGGCAGAGGACCGCTGCTTGCACACAGCAACAACAGATAATAATGGATTGTTAATACTTAAATTAATTATGCTGCAATTGTATTTGCAAACTAGCTGTCCCTTGTAGTCCCAGTCAGACTCTTGAGTTGCCGCACAACAGTTAAATAATAAAAAACAAAAATAAAACAGGCAGAAATGGTGGCACTTAGCTCCAGCCATGTTCAGAGCAGCACCAGGCCAACAACAACAGACTAAAAGAAACATCCAGAAAAATAACTCCTGCTTTGCTGAAAGATTTCACTCATTATTTCCCCAATTGTGGAGAAATACCATTATTTCTACTGTGCCATCATAAGGGTCTGTTTATCCTTTAATGTATAAATGGGTTTGGAGCTCTGTTCCAGCTTTCCAAGCTTTGGAGAAAATCCTGAAGTCCTGGGAGGCCATCCCAGCTTACGCCCTTTTACCTGCACCTTCATGGCAGGTGTTTTTCCCCTACTGAGAAGGAGCCCTGGGATCGTATTAGACACATATATGTGTTTTTTTTTTTAATAAACAAGCCAGCCCCAGAGCTGCCTTGCTTGGCTGACGAAATTCGCCACCACGGACGCGGCAAGCGGGATGCCGAGGCACATTGGCACTTGGTTTAATTTTTCCTCTGCTGCTAACGGTTCTGGGTGGAATTCGTCTCACGTCACCGGCTCCACAGACAGCCTTGGTGCTGCTTAGCTCAGCCGGGGTGTCTCACGTTGAAACAGCTAAAATTGGGTGAGAGGAGGCTGCCAAGTGGCGCCTGCTTCCAGCTTAACCCCTCCATGGGTCATTGCAAAAATATTAGCTGCTAGTTCTGAATTGCTGGATGCTAAAGTTAAGGGGACTCCACTAACCTATTGCCAGGGTGGGCTCTGGAAAATATCCCTTCCAGAGCACAAGCCACAGGTGATTCATCCTTTGACGGGGCACTGAGCAGGAACCTCTTCCTAGAATCCGCTGACACCAACGCCGGGCTGGCCGCGCTGTCGAAGGGAAGCGCAAGGACACGCTCGGAGCGGAGGTTAAGGCGCCGAGATCTTACCAGTTAGAAATAAGCCAGACGTAAGAGGCATTTAGAAGTGCAGCAGGGTTCGTAATTGGAGCTAAAACAGAAGCTTCAGAGTCGCAAAGCTGCTTATGAGATCAGCTGTCACAGCCAGGCCCCTGCGAGGATGCGCCGGTGTCTCCGGGGGGACCGACCGGCCTGCGTGGAGGCGGCACAGGGAGGAGGGAGTTGGAATGAGGGAACTGCAAAAAGGAAGCAGATTTTGTCAAACAGATGAATTTCAGCTATTCCCTTTGCAAAGAGCCTCCCTTCCCAGGTCGTTGCATTTTGGGGGACACATTCCTGGCAAACGCAGAGGATCCGGTGTGTGTATCGGCAAAGCAAACGTTTTCACCCAGCTCTGCCCTGATCGGGGAGAGGTGCAAGATGCAGATGGGAGCAGACCGGAGCAGGCTGCCGAGCAGAGCTTTGCTGCACGGGAGTGTCTTTGCTGCACGGGAATGTCTTTGCTGCATGGGAATGTCTTTGCAGCGGAAGCGAGCGGCATGGGTACGCTGCTCGGATCGTGGCTCCCGCACATTTCCGATCGGGACATAACTTGGACTTACTGGTGTATAAATACGTCCTCCCTGTGCATCTCATCCCTTCCCGGCCAGCATCCCATCACTGTCCCCTGAATGCAGGCGCCAAAGGGTTGAGACCTGGTATCATGTTAACGCGCGCTCCAAAATCGCGAAACCCGGTAATCTTTGGAAATGAAGCTAAAGTCCCTCAAAAAGGCGATGCCGGCGGGTGCGGGATGTGCGGGTACCCGGCTGCCTCTGCAATCCCGGTTTTGGGAGGCTGCCTCTGACCCTGTTGCTAAGCGACCGGCATGCCTTTCCGGAGCCGGAGCAGCCTCTCTCCCACCCACTCCCAAATGTGCATCCCAACCCGCCTGCGCGGGAGGGAGCAGGGAGCCAGCAAGGAGCCTTCATCCCGCAGCTCCGCAGGAGCAGGGACAGCGCAGTCGTCGCAGTTCCTGCCAGCTGGATCAGGCAACGGTGCCGTGTCCAGGTGCGAAAGGCACAAGGA